AGGACGACCCCTGTGAGAGGAGAAACGCTTTTCTCAACCAAAAGTCGAGAAAATCTACCGATCGCCTTTTTATTTATCAGAAAATCGTCTGTTTCTATGTTTTCGTTTTTCTTTGCCTAACAGGGCGACAGCATCAAACTGGAGGACTTCACTCTAGAAGTTTACAGGAGCTTTTTGGACTGTTTGTGTCCCCGTCCGGAGCTCAACGGCATCTTCAAACTGCAGTAAGGAGGAGCCTCTGACCTCTGATGGTTTACTAAAGTTTATTTATTTATTTAATCAGGACAGTGCACATTAATGAACAATCTCATTCAGATTGTAAATGAGCCAGATTCTAGCATAGTTGCTAGTTTACATCTGTCGTCCTGAAGCAGGAAGACCAAACAACACAAAATCACAAAATCACAAAATCAGTCCAAACACACGTTCAGACAATGACATTACAAAATTAAAATTAATTCAATTCAATTTTATTTATATAGCGCCACATCACAACAACAGTTGTCTCACAGCTTTCCAAACAGAGCAGGTCAGACCCTACTCTGAAGTTAATTACAGAAACCCAACAATTCCCACCATGAGCAAGCACTAGGCGACACAGGCAAGGAAAAACTTCCTTTTAACAGGCCGAAACCTGGAGCAGAACCATGGCTCAGCAAAGTTCCTTTGAAATGAGAAGAATGATGAATAATTATTCATCTGCTGCCCCAATTGTGCACAGAGAAGGACAGAAAAAAAAAAAAATCTTTTTTCAATCAGCCTTTTCTCTACCGTGGTCAGGATATCCAAAGTCAGCCTTCAATTGATTAAACTACAAAACACCTCAGAATGACAAAAACCCATCATTGGTTTTCAGCCCCGAGGGTGTCGTCACTTTTTGGTTTGTCTAAAAAAACAATTTAGCAGTTTTTAATCCATAATAATGTTCAGTGGAGACTCGTTTTGAAATGCCTGCAACTATCAATTATTTACATAAGATTTACTAGCTGCGTTTTTTTAAAGATGATAGAAGTCAGTTGATCGGTTTGTTGGAAATAGTATTTGTTAGTATATCTAAAGATTCTCAGTTATCCAGGTCATGGTCAAGCTTAAAAAAAAATTCAGATTAGGCAACTGGGCGTGAAGTTCAGTTTAAAATTCATATCGAGTTTCCTAAACTGAATTTTGAAGTATTCTTTTTTTTTTTAAATCCATTTAAAGGCAATTTAGCTGCAGAAATCCATGTATACTGAAGGTTAATGTCAACCCTGTAATGCCAAATATATCATATTTGATACTTACGGTTTCTGAAATGTTTTGTGTCTGACACCTTTTGCATAATTTAATGGTAAAAACGTTGCTCAAAATCCTATTGTACACAATCAGACACACCTGATAACAGGGGGCAGAAGACTACACAAAAAAATAATCTTGACTTATCGCATAGTAAAAAATTATTAATATTAAAGATGCATGTCTGTTTTTTCTTTTTACATATTTAGTTAAAAGGCCAAATAAGGAATTAAAACCAAAAAAAAGTAATTTTCTGTTTCGTTTTAGTCTTGGATCAGGCTTTAAAGGGTTAAATTTAATCAAAAGTTAATACAGTATCCACTCAAAATGGCCTAAATCAGTCGTTTATTGCATAATCCGGGGCCTTTAACCTTTGACCCCGCCTCGTTCTGCAGAGGGAGCGATGGTGGGACGCTTTCCGTCGACCAGATGACGGAGTTCATCAACAACAAGCAGAGGGACCCCCGGCTGAACGAGATCCTGTACCCCCCCCTCCGCCCCGCTCAGACCCTCTCTGTGATGGAGAGGTACCAGCAGGACCAGGCTCAGCTGAAGCAAGGTGCCCACCAACACACACACGTCTGTTTATTTATCCCACTTTCCCACCGAGCTAAATGCGGAATCGCATTTATTTCTGCACGGATGCGTGTGTTTGTATGAAAATAGAGCTCTAACCCACCCCCACACACACAGAAACACACACACACACAGTGTGAACAGCTGAATTATGGCTCTCACATTAGTGTTTGTGGAGAATTTGGTGTTAATTTTTGCAGGAATGGGTTTTTTTACTTTGGATAGTGAGTAACCTAAAGAGAATAAGAATGACCATGTTTTCATGCAGATCAACATGTTTATGTCTAATTCCTAATTCTTACAAGGTATCAAATTTTGAATGCAAAACAAACTTCACCAAAAAGAAAACTTTAAATGCTTTAATATTTAATTGACTCGATTTAAAGTTACTCAATCTCAGTTAGGACTTTACCATCTGCAGAAAATAATGCATGAATTTAAAATGAGGTGGCCTTGGACTTAAATCTGTTTTTGAAATGTTGATGAGCATGACATTAAAATAAAATGATTCTACATTATCTTTAAAAAGTAGAGCATCTGAGTTTTTTCATATTCAACTTTATGCTTAAAGAATGTCATTTAGCCCTGTTTTATGCACTCAAACAGCCCAGATAAAGGGTTTACATTAGGAATAAACTATTCTGCAATCTTTGGTGAAAAGAGGTTTGACATTTACAGTAATTGCAGTAAAAAAAGATTTAAAGTAAGCTGTGGCACACCGAATTTGATCAAAGTCATCCTTATAAATCAGATTTCCTGTTAAGCATTATTAATGTATAATTGTTTCCATGTTTGTTTTAGGCTTTATTTCCATCCAGGCGTTCTCCAGCTATCTGTCCAGTGACGAGAATGGAGTCATCCCACCGGAGAAACTCGATCAGTCCGAGGACATGAGCTTCCCACTGTGTCAATATTTCATCAACTCGTCACACAACACATACCTGACAGGTACGCAGACACATGAGCATAAACACATGAGCATAAACACATGAGCTTAAACACATGAGCTTAAACACATGAGCTTAAACACATGAGCTTAAACACTGGGAACTTGTTTTAAAAGGCCCAGTTTTGAAGGTGTGAAGCTGCCAGCAACTCCCTTCTCAGAGTGTAAGAAAAAACTGTACACAAGTTCTTCAAAGTGCAAATATCATCAATTGGCATAAGCTTGTATATACATTTAATTTTCTAATGAATCAGAGTTCTTTTTCCTTTTTCCCGTCTTTCTTTGTGGGCTTCAGTCATTCAGCACAGAAATGCTTTTACAATTAAGATGCCTCATTGAAATGTTTATTAAATGGGACTCAGACACATTCAAATTAATTGAACTGATGAGTTTCTCATTCTGTAAA